AAAAAAAACGTATGGACTGACGAACAACGAAATCAATGAACAGCCTTGCATGGCAAATAAAGGGAAAAATTACGGAAAAAAAAACAACAGAACAAAAAAATAAAACATTACAAACAAAAACAAAATAGAGAGAGAGAGAACCCTAAACCGAGAGAGGGAGAGAGAGGGAGAACCCTAAACAGAGAGAGAGAGAGAAAGAGAGAAAGAGAGAGAGGCAGAAGAAGAAGTGGAGAAAAAAAAAAAAAAAAAAAAGCGGAGGAGAAGAAAAAGAAGAAGTGGAGAAGAATAAGAAGAAGAGAAAGCAAAAAACAAAAGAAGAAAAAGTGTGACGCACGTGCGGAGATGGTGAGAGAAAGAGAGAGAGAGAGGAGATGGACACACATGAGAAGCAGCAGCTGAGAGAAGGTCCAGTCCGTCTTGAATGAACAAACAACTGAATGAACGAACCTCCCGCCCTGAGCCTAGGCCGAAGTGATATACCGGCCTAAGTCCAGGTACGGGAAAACCTGGTACCGGACCAGGGTCAGGCCGACGGCCTGAAACTGGTCCGGCCTCACTGCCGGGCCGTAGGGGTACCGCTACACGATCCTCGGACCTGTGAATGGATCAAGCGATATATCAAACACGCTATCCGCTGAAATAGCGGAAACCCAAAATGAACGGCAAAAGGACCAATCCTAAATGCGGAGCAGGCTCCATGCATGAAAAGGGATGCAATGCAGACTAAGCCTCAAGCCTAATCTAAACAGCAATGTCTGGTCTGTGTCGACCCAGAAAGAGAAAAATGTATGACCTGTGTCGGCCAAGAAAGAAAAAAATGTCTGACCTGTGTCGGCCAAGAAAGAGAAAAATGTCTCATGAGCCAAATAGGCTGGATATAAATCAACCCCAGGGCCCTAAAGGCCAAAGAATAACTAAACCAATGTCCTAAGTCAAAAACCAATGTGGCACAGTGTCACGTGCCCTGTACACAATGCACAATACCTGAACAAAGGAGAAGGGAATTCAGTCGCATGGCAGGGGTAGGAATGGGTGGGAAGACGGCAGGTACAACTCTCAGAGTAAACTCCAAGGGGGCACACACACAACCAAGTAAGGGTCATCAGGCTCAGAGGGAGAGTAACAGCACGACACCGGGCTCAATGGAAACCATCAAACGGGTACCGCCAGCTGGAAGGGGGGAAAGGCACTCACACAAGGGAGCACACATAAGGTGAGCCTGGAAGGAGAGAKGGCTATGCCGGCATAGACATGTGGCCAAAAGCCGCGAGCAAGGAAAACGTACACTCCAGAGGAGGGCGCGCRGCATAAGGTAAGGCAGAAGGGCGGCAAGCRGACACACSCACATAGACAGGGAAAATAGGGGTCATCATGCGACTGAAGGGTAAGCCCGAGGGTGGTGGATAGGTGGGAATGATGGGGACTCTGTA